TTATAATCTTCGGGGCTGGAGAAATGGTTCAGTCAGTGGTAGCATTCACTACTGTGTTCATTTTCCAACACCCATATGGTAGCTGACACAAGGCATGCACATGGCACACAGACATACATGCAAGTAAAACACACACATTAAAGAATAATAAAATTAGTTTTTAAATTAGAGTTGGAAGTGTAGGTTAATAGAATGCTTGCCTATCATGTTCAAAGTCCTGGGTTTGATCCCCAGCACAGAAGGATCTAGTTGTGGGAACCCCTGCCTGTGCTCCCAGTACCAGGGAGATGGATACTGGAGAATCAGAAACTCACGGTCACCTCAGCTGTATAAAGACTTCAAGGCCAAAGACCCTGGACTGAAAAATTTTTTTAATTAAATCTGTCATTTGATTAAAACCAGCTGGAAATATTTATTTGCTCTATCTATCATCAATCCATCCAAAGCCCAAACAGCTGGGATGAAGAGTGGAGCTCATAGCAGAGCACCTGCTGGAGCACAGGCAAGGCCCTGGGTCTGATCCAATCACTGAAATATTAAGTTACACTTAAAAAGAATAAAGCCAGGAAACGGAATTCACAAAGGAAAGGGGCCGAGGAAGGAACCTTCTTAATGGAGTGTGGTAAACTGATTTTAGCAAGTCATTATATCCCACTAAGTACTTAAATATTGATACGCTATACCAAGATTCCGGTACTAGGAATACAATTCGGGAAAACACTGACGTGATTAAAGATACATTGTGAGATCCTGTCTAGAATCAAAAAACAAAAGTGAGGTCGGTTTCTATACATTGACATGTCCAAAACTGATTAACTGAAAAATTTAAAATGATGCTGGGTAGTGGTGGCGCACACCTTTAGTCCCAGCACTTGGGAAGCAGAGGCAGATAGATCTCTGTAAGTTCGAGGCCACATTTACAAAGCTACAGAGAAACCCGGCTCAAAAAAAAAGAAAAAAAAAAAAAGAAAAGAAAAGAAAAGAGGCTGGAGAGATGGCTCAGAGGTTAAGAGCACTGACTGCTCTTCCAGAGGTCCTGAGTTCAATTCCCAGCAACCACATGGTGGCTCACAACCATCCATTATGAGATCTTGTGCCCTCTTCTGGTGTGCAGATATACATGGAAGCAGAATGTTGTATACATAATAAATAAATAAAATCTTTTAAAAAGAAAGGAAGGAAAGAAGGCAGGAAGAAAATGGAAATGTTACTGATTAACTATTCAGGTTAAATTAAATTATATGAGTATGGGGGTGGGGGCTGGAGAGATGGCTCAGAGGTTAAGAGCACTGACTATTCTTCCAGAGGTCCTGAGTTCAATTCCCAGCAACCACATGGTAGCTCACAACCACCTTGAATGAGCTCTGGTGCCCCCTGCTGGTGTGCAGGCAAAAGAATGTATACATAATAAATAAATAAAATCCTTAAAAAAAAAAAAAAAAAAGAACCAGGCGTTGGTGGTGCACGCCTTTAATCCCAGCACTCAGAGGCAGGTGGATCTCTGTGAGTTCGAGACCAGCCTGGTCTACAAGAGCTAGTTCCAGGACAGCCTCCAAAGCCACAGAGAAACCCTGTCTCGAAAAACCAAATAAATAAATAAATAAAATAAAGAGTACAGACGATGTTATGGGATATTTATACACTGTGTGAAGATATATTACTCTGATTGGTTTGATAAAGAGCTGAAAGATCAACTCCCTCCCCCCAAAAAAAGCTGGTTTAACCCCAGCATTTGGGAAGCAGAGCTGAGAGAGAGAGAGAGAGAGAGAGAGAGAGAGAGAGAGAGAGAGAGAGAGAAAAGAGCCAACAAAATAAAAAACAAACCAACCAAAGAACAACAACAAAAATAGAAACAAATAACTATTCTTAGAATGGTAACTTTGCCAATAGTTAAAGAGTATTAGGTTTATAACTATATACCTTTCCGATGTTATTAAAGAAAAATCTACCTTAATTCTTTAGCTGTAATGCCCCTCCACGTTTCTCCCACCCAGCGGCCAGAAACAGAAACAAAGCATGTCTATCTCAGACCAATGATATCCCTCTCTTCTCCACCAATGATCTCCAGTCGTGCTGCCTGGAGCCAGGCACCCAGCCAAAGGGGGTTAAATATAACTCTCCAGCCAGCCTGGCCCCTC